TGTTTTTAAAGCAAATTATGTGTGCATACGTAAAACCACATCAAGTGTGAATTGTCGAGACGGAACGCTCTAATGCCATTGACACCGACATTGACACGGGTAGATCTACACGTCACCCACGAGTATATATAGATCACTTAGTGCCAGATGCATCAAGCATGTTTGTGTAACAGTACACTTATCGCAAGCAACTTGGCGTGGACATACGTGAGAGTCCTCCTCATCTTCTTCTTGAGCCATGGTGGCCCCATCTGTCGAAGCTGCCTCTGTACAATGTCAAAGTGGTGTCGAATAGTGTCAAACCGGTGTCAATTACAGTGTGAAGGTGTCAAAAATGTGTCAATGAAGTGCCACAGAGCATAACAGAAGAGAGCACCCTGCCATTCCTTGAGTTTGTAACCGATACTCGGCAAGCAACTGACCTAGAACATCTACTTCAAATGGGTGATCCCTAACCCGCAAAATTTTAATAATCCTGATTTCTCACAGTCTAGTCATTCTACGATTAGACTGTTCCTGATTCATATAGCATGTGAAAGTACTCATAGCCCGGTTCTGTCCGATCTAACACCCCATTTTACTCAACAAAGGATCATTTGGCACCCATTTACTTACCTGCAACCCCGTACAACCCACTAAATCACCGCTTTTTCTCACTTTGGCAATCCGTAATACACACTACACTGCATAATACCACATACTCTGCTGTTTTTTCCTGGACTTCCGCTTGACGTAAACTTGCTTCTGATCCTCCACACACTGTGTGACGCATGGAATGAGACAGTAGATGTGACTGTTAGGAAGGTAGTGGGTTATAAAATATACAGTGCACGAACCTATTGAAAGAAGCTAGTGGATAATAAAATAATACAGTACATGAGGGTTAACGAAGGGCTACGTCGACTGGCACGTACATCTTTGATACGAACTTTCTGAAGGTGTATGGATATATAACAATATTGCATTTGCCTATATTCCGGACCCTATACATACATTCGGATGTATATGCTCACAGTACGTGTCATGGACAGTTACGTAACAACCCCGAACACGCGTCTCGTATCCGAGCACACACTTGTGCTAAACACCTCGTTTCCGGCAGACCCACAGTGTACGATTTGTACTATATATTGATATACACGGTCAATACAGAGACATCTATACACGTGTTCTACACAAATCAAAAAATGTACGTACAGACCTACACAAGAACTTTGTACAGATCTATAAAGATACATACAGATCTACACAAGACCTCTGTACAAATCAAAAAATATACGTACATCTCTCAACACGTGCTCTGTGAAAATCTATAAATTTAAATACAAATCTCCACGTGTGATCTGTACAAATTTTAAATATACGTACACATGTACACGTGTTTCTCGTGAGAATCCAGAATAGTGCACGCAAGTTTTTTTTAATGTGGGATTTGTGTTGTATATATATATATATATATATATATATATATACTATATACTATATATACAGACAGATATACAGACAGACTGTACATACATATGTGCGCACACACACAAAAATGTAATATATATATAAACACATACGCGCACGTACACACATATGCAGACACCCACAATCATAAAAACACATATACATGTCCATGCGTAAAGTCACATGCACACATGTACATTGTCAAACTCACGTACATACCAACATACGCACCCACAAACACATATCTATTTATACATGTACAAAGTCGCATGCACGCATACACATATTAGCACACACACGCACACACACCGTTTCGAATAGCCGGATGACTGTATGCGTGAGGCCCACCACTTCGGACAGGAAGGTACTCGCGTGTATTTTGGGGTTGTAGGCTTTAATCATCTGTACAGTACATTGTGATCATGTCAATTGATTTCCATATGTCAAATATTCGCATGTATTTTGGGGTTGTAGGCTTTGATCAACTGCGTCGTGCATTGAGTTGTGTAACGTATGAATGTATCCGATGGTTGGTAGTGAAACTGGGGTTGCATGATGCGATCGATTTATTATATGCTGTGGTCGGTATATTCTATAACCCTGTAAGAGGATTTTATAAATATTATACAAGCGTGTCTGGCGGTGTTTAATATACATATTATAGAAGTATGAGATTCGGTCATGTGTAGATTTTGTTCAGCATGCTTGATTATGCGCCGACAGTTTATCATGGTAGATTCATTTGATGGTGCACAGACGTATGCCGACGTGCAATAGACAAACAACGTAGATACAGCCCGACCAATAAGACACTCATCTGTGTTTGACATACAATGACGAACATAGTAAACACACCTATCTGTGTTTTGACGAATAACACACTTACCGCTACGCAGTCGTGGATCAATTGATGCTCGTAAATGATGTTCTGTTTCAGACTGCTTGCGGCATCGATCAGGTCTTGGCTGCCTGAGTGCATAAAAGGGTAGGAAAATACAAGGATTAAAACAGTGCTGGTATGACTTCAGGTTGTCACTAAGTAGAAGAAAAAATAGGACAATAAATGATGATTACTAGTCTGATTACATTTGTGCGTCGATCATATACAAAAAAAATTACATACCCATAGAGAGTAGAGCCTCTTAGTACTAGAGTATTATCATAGCACCAAAAAAAATTATACATACAAATCAGAAAGAATGATTTCATTTTGTATGCGTGTTTCCTGTGCTCCATACAGATAAGCACCACCAAAGTATTTCATGCTATACAATCCTTGTACGCTATATAAGAATGCAAATACAAAGGCAAACAGTGGAGTAGTAAAAAACTCGAGCGAAAAGGTGCACCGCACAAGCTACCGCGATTTCTTGCGGGAAATATACAACTAGGAAATGTGCCCTATCTTTCTATATACGGTATTCACTAAAAAACGCACCGTATTTTTCCATGCAGGTGATGTATTGGATCTGTTCGTGCAACGCCCGCATGGCAATCGTGTGCCTCCAACCCCACAGGTCTGCACAGGCAAAATAGAAGAACGACAACCCGAGAAAAAGTGAGGGAAAGGGGCAAATGAAGAGTGAGAGTGGAACAAAAGAATAGTTAGCCTAACAGACAGGTTTTCGTCAAGGGCATGTTGAAGAATGGGAGGATGAGACGAACACATACCCAGTCTGGCTGTCCTTGCTTACAGGCAACAGATTGGTATACTTCACATTGTGTGGTGCTACATCACGTTCGTTGGACACACTAAGGTGCTTCTGCACACTTCTACTGATGTGTGCGATAAATCACACCTATGACCCTCAAACAAGCCTTGACAAGTGTAAGTCGCATTAGTGGGTGCAGTGCCAGGCTGGATGTTAACTACGAGGGGCTCTATAATACTGATAGGTGCTATACCTCACGATACCACCACCAAATACTTGGTGCGCCCACCACAACTGTGAAAGCTTAGCATATTCTATTTGTATGTGGTCGAATGCATATCCTATACATATTATATTATCACGACATAGCCAGTGCAGGCGATCAATAGCGAGCGCGTGTAAGTTACTCGCCTCCATCGCCAATGTGCCGCGCATACACATGGGAATGATATAAAACTCTTGATATACACACACAGGCTTCCAAACCGCCACGAGGAATCAGTCAAGTATAGATGATTCTCCTTTGTTGTGATACTGTACTAGCATACATGTAGATATATGTATGCTCTTGTCAGCGTTATATAGAAGCACGCAGGTTTAAGTGTTATGTAGACTCATGGTCTTCACACAAGTACCTTTGTTATAATGTGCATGCACACATATATGTGAAAGTATGTCCTATACAGGTTCACGTAGACACATGGTCTTCGCACAAGTACCTTTGATATAATATGCATGCATGCATATATGTAGAAGAATGTCCTATACAGAGGTATGTAGACACGTGGTCTTCACACAAGTACCTTCGCTAAAATGCACTTGCAGACATATATGTAGAAGCATGTCTTTTACAGGGATATGTAGACACATGATCTTCAAGTACCTTTGGTCTTGTTGTCCTTGTGTGCGCGTACATTGGCAGCGAATTCATTGAGTTTCTCCAGTAAGAACTTGTACATAGATGTGTCGATCACCACGCCCAATTCGGCCACTGAGAACTTCCTACAGGCAGCGCATAGAGTATTTTATGGTTATTGGGTTAGGATTTAGAGTTTAATGCTTAGGGACCCGTGACCGATTGTGAGAGCCACTAATGAGCCATAGCCGACTCAATTTTAAACAAAATACCAAATCGATCATGTCCCTGTTGGTGTACACATGTATGTAAATATAATGCTACTAAATCTTGACCTGTACGTCGCACAGATGAGTCATTGATGAGTCGTTGAGTCATCAAAACTCACTGATAATATACTGATTATAAATTGATGGTTTAAGAATACGCATATAGGAGCCCACACCTAGTTCAACCATAGATTATCCGTAGTTTGACCATAGCTTAACCATAATTTAATATATGGTAGAGCCATAGATATCCATAGTTTAACCATAGATATCCATATAACTTGAACAAAGTTCAACAATAGTTCAACCATAGATAATCATAGTTTAACCTTAGTTCACTTATAGTTTATCAAAAATTTAACCTTAGTTTATTATTTATTTAACCCTAGTCTAGCCATAGTTTAACCGTAGTTTGAAGCATATAAACCCAACTGTCACGTTGGGCCGTTTGGTGCAGTTCATCAAATGTCGTGAGTATGGCGACAATTGAAATTTCCTCCGGCAGTGGGTATTGGGGCTATTTTTAGACCTACACATAATCTTGTGACCAATACTCCATGCTACACAAAGCATATATTTATCGCAATCTAAAGGCGTGTGGTTATGTGTATGCATATAGAATGCGAAATAACAGAACATCTGCAGTTGTGATACACTTCACCTATTTTCCCCCAAAACACCGTGCATGATCTACATGCCCAGTCACTGTATAGTCCCCGACAGCATACTACAACTGGTTTGCAATCGAACGCTCGGACTGATGTTATATCTCAAGTATGTATAGGGAGTATAAGCAAGTAGATCAAAGATTTATATACGTGTGCGTGTGTGTGTGTGTGTATGTGTGCGTGTGTGCGTGTGTGTACGTGTGTACTGTGTGCACGTGTGTATCTATGTAATGCATCTCCCAAACAACGAAGCAGGTACACTCCAATCGTTCAGCCGTGTGAATGTGATATGATTCTTAATCAGACAACAGACAGTACCTTCTCATGCCATCTAGCACTACGTCAAGTGTCATAAACCCCCTTATGTGTCTAACAAGGCCTGGCAAATGTATCTGTCGCAGCAGCCTATTGAATTCGCATGCCCACAAGGACAGAATAAGACTTACTTGTCCGTCAAATCTTTCTTGGAGAATGACTTCCGGTGGTAGACCAGGAAGAAGTGCATCACCCACATGAAGTTGAACGTGTCGGTCTCAAGCACATTGTCCCGCTGCGCCCGGATGTCGCGCTAGCGATAAAATTAGAGGTGCGATTAATAGACCTGACGAGGTGACTGAACTTTAAATAGAACATATCTCACGCACACACATTTACAGACATAGTCAATGAGTGGCTCGGACGGATAGCCGCACAGGCGATGGACAGCCGATGGGAGAATGCTAACATTATAACCTGTGTACACATGACCACACATACGATAGTGTAGTGCGCTTGTGCGAATATGCCAATATATATTCATACGCACACGTACATAGATACATGCATGCCATAGAAATGAAAGCACTCGTGATGAACTATGTATTACATCATACCCAGATGGAATTCATCAGTGTGTTGTGACAGTTTTGAATGAACTCATTGCAGTATGCCCCCAGTCGTTTCCTGTGAGAGGGGCAAGGAAATCATGGAGTCTGAAAATTAGAGCAGAAAGAGACAACCACCATAGATTGTAATGTGAGCATATGGCTTGATGAGGCAACAGGTGCAACATGTAAATCTGAAGTCAGACACCGTACTTCTATCACAATGGATGCATATATACATATATATATATGTGTGTGTGTGTGTGTGTGTTGTGTGTGTGTGTGTGTGTGGTGTGTGTGTGTGTTGTGGTGTGTGGTATATATACTACTTATATATATATATATATATATATATATATATATATA